AGAATATATTGCAGAGACTAAACCATCAATGGACACTGATCCACCTCCTGTTCCTTCTCTTCCCTCTCCTCCATCTCCACAACTCCATTCTTCGCAACGCTCCATTCCTTCGCTGCTTGAACGCCTTCCAGTGCCACCACACGTTAACTTTTCTAACGCCTCTAGTTCGTAGGTGCCCTTCCCTACGGATTCCTGGTATTTTCTTCATTGCCAATCATGGCCTATTTACAGTGGAATATCCGCGGCCTCATGGGTAATCGGGGTGAGCTTCAGATGTTGCTTTCCAGGTTTTCCCCTGTTGGTGCTTGCTTACAAGAACCAAAATTACACTCAGCTGTTTTCCAACCTCTCTCAGGCTATAATTTATTGTATTCTTTGGATCCTTTCTCAGATGGGACCTATAATGAAAGTGCCCTTCTTCTACGCAACGATATTCCGTACTGTCAACTATTTGTCCATACCTCGCTGCATTACACTGCAGCCCGTATCCACTTGAATAAGTGGTTTACAATATGTTCTTTATATCTCTCTCCTTCTCGAGCATTTTCTATCCCAGATTTTGCCTTTCTAGTTTCATCCTTACCACCACCACTTCTGTTACTTGGTGATTTTAACGCCCACCATTTCCTCTGGGAGGGGGGTCTCATTGTGACTCACGTGGCATCCAGTTGGAGGCTTTTCTCGCCTCTCACCCCCTCCATGTTTTAAATATGGTTACTCCCACCCATTTTGATCCTCGTACTCATAATCTCTCTTGCATCGATCTATCAGTCTGCTCTTCCTCCACTGCACTAGACTTCACCTGGTCTGTTCTACCGGACTTACATGACAGCGATCATTTTCCAATCATTCTTACTTCTCCTTCCTATTCACCACCTTTCCGTAGCCCTCGCTGGCAATTTGATCGGGCAAATTGGGACCTTTTTTCGCAACTCACTGCTTTTAGTGAGGTTCCTTCTTCGTCCTCCATTGATGAGCTCCTACACCTCTTCTCGACGTCAGTTTATACCGCAGCTTCTCATTCTATACCCCAAACCTCAGGCAGGCATTCTCAGAAGTGCGTGCCTTGGTGGTCTCCTGCTTGTGCTCGTGCAGTACGTTTGAAACGCGCTGCATGGGGCAGGTACCGGTACAGTAGAACCGATGAGAGACTTCTTGATTTTAAGCAGAAGCGTGCGATCGCTCGCCGTGTCATCCGTGACGCTAAACGCACTTGCTGGCGAGACTATGTTTCCACCATCACCTCTGCTTCCTCTATGAGTGCAGTCTGGAAAAAAGTGAGGAAATTGAGTGGTAAATACTCTCCTGACCCGGCTCCTGTTCTACGGGTCGCTGGTGTTGATGTAGCAAATCCTCTTGACGTTGCCATTGAAATTGGCACTCATCTAGTCCGAATTTCCCGGGGACTCCATCTATGCCCCTCGTTTCTTTCCTCAAAGTCTGGACTTTTCTTCTCTCAGAGAAGAACAGTATAATGTGCCTTTTACACTTCAGGAACTGTAGGCAACGTTCTCAGCTTGCCGATCATCGGCAGCTGGGCCTGACGACATTCATATTCCTATGTTACAACATTTACATCAGTCAGCCCTTGTAGTCCTCTTACACCTCTTCAACCTTATTTGGGCACAAGGAGTTCTTCCCCAGCTGTGGAAATCTGCCATTGTTCTCCCTTTCCGTAAGCCGGGTACTACAGGACATGATGCCTCCCACTATCGTCCCATCGCTCTTACTAGTGCAGTTTGCAAAGTGATGGAACGTTTGGTAAATCGACGTTTAATGTGGTATTTAGAGACACACAACAGTCTCTCCGCTAGTCAATATGGCTTTCGTAAGGGCCGTTCTACCATAGACCCCTTACTACGCTTGGATACGTATGTTCGTAATGCCTTTGCGAATAATCACTCAGTTATTGCCATATTTTTTGACCTTGAGAAGGCATATGACACAACTTGGAGGTAAAATATTTTGGCCCAAGCCCACTCCTTAGGCTTCCGAGGCAATCTACCATCCTTCCTTAAGAACTTTTTAACTGACAGACATTTCTGTGTCGAGTCAATAATGTGCTTTCCCCGGACTTCGTCCAAGCTGAAGGTGCCCCCCAGGGATGTGTTCTGAGCACAACACTTTTTCTCCTTGCTATAAATGATTTGGCCTCTGTTCTTCCACCCAATATTTGGTCATCACTCTATGTTGATGACTTCACTATTGTTTGTGCAGGCGCTGACTGTCTTCTCATTACAGTTTCTCTCCAGCATGCGGTCGACCGTGTTTCCACTTGGGCCACCACGCATGGGTTTAAATTTTCCAGTACCAAAACTCACCAAATTACTTTCACTAGACGCTCTGTCATCTCCGATCATCCTTTGCATCTCTCTATGGCTCCCGTATCCCCGAACGTGATACAATCAGGTTTCTAAGCCTTCTCTTTGACCGTAGGTTATCCTGGAAACCTCACATTACTTCTCTGAAGGCAACTTGTCACAGCCGGCTGAACCTTCTTAAAACCCTTGCTCATCTTTCCTGGGGAGCTGATCGTCGAACTTTGCTTCGCCTACATTCAGCCCTCATTTTATCGAAACTCGATTATCGTGACCAGATTTATTCAGTGGCCTCTCCTGCTACTCTCTCTAGCCTTAACCCCATCCATCACCAAGGATTACGTTTATGCCTTGGTGCTTTTCGCTCTTCCCCTGTTGAGAGCCTCTATGCAGAAGCGAATGTACCATCCTTGTCTGATCGCCGTGATGCCCATTGCCTTCGCTACTATGTACGCTCTCACGATCTCCGCAATCCTTCCATTTATAGAATGGTCACCGATATTAGTAGGCATTCTTTATTTGTTCGCCGCCCCTGTTTGCTCCGTCCCTTTTCTCTTCGCCTACATTCGCTCTAGTCTTCCCTTCAGTTACCACCTCTATATGTTCATGTAGCATCTCACTTTTCTCTACCCCCCTGGGAAGTTCCAGCTGTTCGGGTCTGTTCTTTCTCACTCCCTTTCTCGGAAGCCATACTGCCTACGGTGGCTTCCCGCTCTCTTTTTCTTGATCACTTCCACTCTCATTCTCATGCCATCGCTGTGTACACAGATGGCGTTGGATTCGCAGCAGTGTTTCCGGACAGCATCGTGCGGGGGCATTTACTATCTTCGGCTAGTATTTTTACTGCTGAATTGTATGCCATTCTTGCAGCACTTGTTCGTATCGCATCTATGCCTGTCATCATTTGTGGTAGTCTCAGACTCCCTTAGTGCTCTACAGGTTATACGAAAATTTGATACATCTCATCCCCTAGTTCTCCGCATCCAACTTTGGCTACGCAGTATCTCTACCAAGCATAAAGGTATTGTTTTTTGTTGGGTCCCTGGTCATGTCGACGTACAGGGCAATGAACAGGCAGACACTGCTGCGCGGTCAGCAGTACATGATCTACCAATTTCATATAGAGGTGTTCCATTTCTGGACTATTTTGCTGTAATAGCTACCCACCTTCACACCCGTTGGCAACAGCGTTGGTCAACTTTGCTCGGTAAAAAAACTTCATTCTATTAAACCGTGCATAGGTTATTGGCCGTCTTCTTGTCATCAGTGCCGAGGTTGGGAGACTACTCTCTCCCGCCTTCGCATTGGCCACACTCGTCTTACTCATGGGTATCTCATGGAGAGGCACCACATTCTGTTAGACTGCCCCCTCTATCAACAAGCACGCAGAATTTACCTCCGTCGTCGTCTCCACTCTACTACTCTCTCTTTACCTTCCCTTCTTGCTGATGGACCCTCCTTTAATCCTGACTCTCTCATTGACTTCTTGACAACGACTGATTTACTCCACAAACTCTGATGATACCTTTCGCACTCCCCTCAACCCTTTCTAGCTCAGTCTCTTGCTGCCCTTACCCTTACACCATCCACTGCCCCGCTGTTCTCCGTAACCTATTACTCATCCATCTCCCTTTTGCCACCTGATGCCCTCGCTTCCTTCCTGCCCTGCAGCGCTGTATAGCCCTTGTGGCTTAGCGCTTCTTTTTGATTATAATAATAATGCAGTTTCATTGATCAGTGCCTCCCTTCGTATTTCAGATATTTGGCCTCACTCAGCAGCTCTGTGACTTCGCCTAAATGCATAAAAATGCTCATATTTTTTGTGAGTAATAAAATGAAAGTTGTTAAGTGAGATAAATATGGCGCAGAACACGAAAAGTAATGATAAATAGATAGCGTAAGGTACCTTACCTTTGATAAATTTCGAGAGTCTTACTGCTCTCGGAGCCTGACCATGGACGAGGCTTGTCTGGTGTTAGCCTGGTCAACCAGGCTGTTGTTGCTGGAGGCCTGCTGCCCCACATATCCATCACAGCCTGATTGCATCTGGCACCTGGTGAAGATACTTGTTCAGTTTTCTGTTGAAGACTTCTGTATTTGTTCCAGCAGTGTTTCTGATATCTTCTGGTGAGATGTTGAATAGTCTGGGACCAAGAATGTTGATACAGCGTTCCCTTATTGTGCGCACCGCACCCCTGCTTTTCACTGGGTTTATTTTGCACTTGCATATCTCTCGCTCCAGTATGTTATGTCAGTGTGCCAATCTGGGATAAGGCCCTTGAGTACTTTCCAAGTATATATTAACATGTATCTCTCCTCCACTCCACTGAGTACATGTTCAAGACTTTATGAAAAAAGAAGTTATTTTCAAGGCTCATTTTTGGTTCCACTGAATTACTAAAGAGTGAACTATTGTTCTAGAAAACTCACTTTTGTGAAATATATTATTTTTGTAATGGACAAGCAGTTTACGAATGTTGTATTCAACTAGATACAGTGTTGTGCTTATCTGTGCTCACTGAAACACTAACCTTAATTCGCACACCTAGGACGATCATTTATCTCTGGATCACTAAAACGCAGTAGTAATGTCGCAAAGAGAGCTAGAAATATCCTTGATATAACGATACTCAGGTCTTACGTTAAAAGTCTTGACCATTTACTTCCTCTCCTCCTCCACAGATAGGGTTCTTCCGTCGCAAGAAACTGGCGAAAGAGACAACGTCCAATCTCGCAAATGAGGACCTGGAGATCATAGATTCAGGAGACCTTCCTCTCGCTGACGATGTTCTTGAAGAAGAGGAACACCCGTTGACAAATGCTTCTGAGAGCTTCATCAATTTAAGAACTTTCAGCGACACAGATGGTTCAAACGGCCTTAGCGATGAACACGTCACTACTCAAGATAATGCTCAGTAGGGTTTTCAAAACTAGTGCAGAATTTTGAACAGAAGCTTACACAGAAGTTGTAATGGCGAGACACGTTTACTTGACTTTATATTTAAATACGGTTGATTCATTTTGTTTTAAACTTATAAGTTACAAACCCCTTGATGTCAATTTATGTTTAAAGTTTGTATAAAGAAGTGGGGAAAGAACCCTTGAACTAGGATGCAATTGGCCAAACTTCCCCCAGAGACTCGGTGAATGCACCCTAGAGAGCTAAGTCGCAGTTTTTGGGCAAGCTTCCTCTTGCATGGAGCTCAAGTGTTTCGATGTAGGAGCCCAAATGTTGCACATTGTGGCATACGCCTGCATGGAGCGGAAAGAAGTTAATTTAATGTAGTCAATATGTTATACTATAGGGAAAACCCAATATGTATAAGAAAAGAAAATTTTATATATATATATATATATATATATATAATATATATATATATATAATATATATATATATATATATAAATATATATATATATATATTGTGGGATACACATCGGCCGTATCTCACTGAGGCGGGGTGGCCCAAAAGGAGAAACGAAAGTTTCTCCTTTTACATTTAGTAACATATACAGGAGAAGGTGTTACTAGCCCCTTGCTCCCGGCATTTTAGTCGCCTCTTACGACACGCATGGCTTACGGAGGAAGAGTTCTGTTCCACTTCCCCATGGAAATAAAAGGAAATAAACAATAACAAGAACTAGAAAGAAAATAAAAGAAAACCCAAAGGGGTATGTATATATATGCTTGTACATGTATGTGTATTGTGACCTAAGTGTAAGTAGAAGTAGCAAGATGTACCTGAAATCTTGCATGTTTATGATACAGAAAAAGGGACACCAGCAATCCTACCATCATGTACAACAATTACAGGCTTTCGCTTTACACTCACTTGGAAGGACGGTAGTACCTACCTGGCGTTGCTTCCACCAACGTTCCCTAAAAAATATATATATATATATCATTATATATTATAGAATGCTTTATATATATATTTAAATGCAACATTAATATCTTCACAGTGCGCCGATTCCCACCCAGGCCCAAAGGTGCGTTTTCCCCAAAAGAAAAAACTTTTAAACCATTTTTATTCACTTCCATCACATGTCTTGGGAGCCAAGGATGCACACAAAACCTTTTTACCCCTGCAACCTTCTCACCACCCCCCTTCCTTCAACTACAGGACTGTAACTTCCAATCTTCCCGGACTCCAAGTCCTCCTGTCCGGGTTCCCTGAACCCCTTCATAAAATTTTTTACCTTCTCCAACTTCCAAACAGAATCTCTCAATATTAAAACCATTTGCCCTTCAAAATGACATTTAACACGCTCCAGCCTCCCTGCTGAACATCAACGCCCATGCTCACACAACCAATAAGTCCTTTAAAATACTCTCTAACTTCCCCCTTTCCTAAGGCCGACCCCAGACCCCACCCTCCTTCCCACTACAACTTGATACCCCTCTTCAAGTCCATTCTGTCGCTCCATTCTCTCTACATTTCCGAAACCACCTCACAACCCTTCCTCACCCTCTCAACAGTTTTGGTAACCCGCACCTCCTCCTAACTTCAATACTACGAATTCTCTGCATTATATTCCACCACACAATTGCCCTCAGACATGACATCTCCACTGCCTCCACCTTTTCCTCCTGCAACATTCATCGCCCAGCTTCACACCCATATAAGTGCGTTGGTAAAACTAACTCTCATACATTCCCCTCTTGCCCCCAAAGGGACAAATTTTCTTTGTCTCCACAACTCCTAATGCACCACTCACTCTTTCCCCCACAATTCAGTTTCACCCATTTTTTCATAGACCCATCGCTCACTCCCACCCAAATATCTGAATACATTCACCTCCCCATACTCCTCCCCCAATCGATTTTCAATTTTTCTCACCTAATCTTTTTTTATCCCATAACCTTACTCTTTTCTGTATTCACCTTTTAATTTTCTTTTTTTGCACACCCTACCAAATTCACCACCAATCCTGCAACTTCTCTTCAGAATCTCCCAAAAAACCGTGCATCACAAAGAGCACTGTGACAATCCCACTTTGTGTTGATTCTTTATTTTTTAACTCCACGCCTTTTGTAAAGACACTTGCATTTACTTCTCTTACAACCCCATCTATATTATATTTAAACAACCACGGTAAAATCACACATCCTTGTCAAGGGCCCTACTTTTTACTGGGAATAATTTCCCTTTTTTCCTACATACCTAACTTGACCTCACATCCCGAAAAAACCTTCACGCTTTCAGAACCTACCTCCTACATCATACCTTGCAACCGCACTTTTGCCCCCCCTATCCACCTGTTTATAGTTTTCCCCCTAAATCCAAAATGCCACAAAGACCCTTTGCCTTATCTAAATACTGTTCATTTAATTTTTTTCACTGTAAACACCTGGTCCACACACCCCCTCCTTTCCTAAAGCCCCTTGTTCTCGCTACCATTCTCCGTCTTACCTTAATTCTTTCAATAATAACCACCATACATTTTTACCGGGTATACTCAGCAGACTTATCCCCCTATAATTTTTGCACTCTTTTTTATCCCCTTTCCCTTTATACAAAGGGAAATATGCTCCCTGCCAATCCCTAGTACCTTACCCTCTTCCATACATTATTAAAAAATTCACCAAACCCTCCAAAACTATATCCCCACCTGCTTTTAACATTTTCTATCTTTATCCCATCAATCCCGGCTGCCGTACCCCTTTTCATTTACTACGCCTCACGAACTTCCCCACACTCACAACTGCTCTTCCTCACTCCTACAAATGTTTTTTCCCCCTTGCCCCTATACACAAACCACTTCCCACTTCACAACATTTAACAATTCCCAAAATTTTCCCCCCATTTTCCCAATACCTCTAACTCCCATTAATAACTCTCCTCTCCATTTTTAACTACAAATCCATTTGTTCTCTAGGGTTTCTTAACTTGTTAATCTCACTAAAAAAAATTTTCTTTTTTTCAAAAAAATTTGTTAAAAACACTCACCCCCTCCTCATTTGCTCTCTTTTTTTCATTGCTTCCCACTCTCTTTAACCCCCTCTTTTTCTCCCTAAACTCTTCCCTCCTTTCATCACTTCTACTTTGTAAAAACTTCTCATATGCAACTTTTTCTCCCTTTTTACTCTCTTTTCATCATCATTCCACCAATCGCTCCTCCTTTTTCCCTCCGCCCCACTTTCCTGTAACCACAAAATTTTGCTGAACACTCTAACACTATATTTTTAAAAAAACCCCATAAACCCCTTCGACCCCATTTCCATGCCTAATAGCCCATCATCCTCCAATAGCTTTTATATCTTACCCCAACGCCTCCTCTTTTAGTTTATAAACCTTTACCCCTCTTCCTGATGCTTTTTTATTCTCGTTGTATCCCACTACCTTTTACTCTCAGTGTAGCTACAACTAGAAATGATCTGAATATCTGTGGCCCCTCTTTAAAAATGACATCCTGAAGTCTACTCAACGTATTTTATCTACCAAAACAAATCCAACAAACTACTGTCTTTCGCCCTACATATACTTTTATACTTATTTTTCCCCTTTTCTTTAAAAAATTTTTAACCCAAACTAAACCCCTTTCAACAAAGTTCAATCAAAGGGGTCCCCTTATCATTTACACCTCACCCCAAACTTTTCCTACCACAAACCCCCCTAAAAGTTTTTAAATTTAGCATTCAGTCCCCCAAACCCCAATTACTCTCTCACTTGGTTCAAAGGCTCCCATCATTCACTTTAAAATCCCCAAAATCCCTCTCTCCTCTAATTCCTCTCTTCTCCGGGGCATACACGCTTTTTATGACCCACTTTTCCATCCAAACCTTTATTTAATCCACAAATTCTTGAATTTACACATTCATATTTTTCTTTTCCCCCCTTCCATAACTGATCATTTTAAAATTACTCTACCCCTTCCTTTCTCTAACTCTCTCAATACCCAGATTTTTAAACCCATTTTTCCCCCCACTGAAACTCCCCTACCCCCTTTTAGCTTTTTTTTCCTTAGGGCCAGGCATCCAAATTCTTTTTTATTCGTAAAATCAGCAATCTCTTTTTCTTGTCATCCCACTACATCCACGCACATTAAAACTCCCATTTTATAAAGTTTTTTTTCTTCTTTTTTTAGAAAAATTTTACAGGAGAAGGGGTTTCTAGCCCATTCTCCCGGCATTTTTGCGCCTCATACGACACGCATAGCTTACGGAGGAAAGATTCTTTTCCACTTCCCCCTGGCAATAAAGAAATAAAAAAACAAGAGCTATTAGAAAAAGGAGAAAAAACCCCAGAGTAGTAATTATATCATGTGCGTGTCTGTAAGTGTACCAAATGAAGTAGGAGTAGCAAGATACCCTGTTATCTAGCGTGTTTTAGAGACAGAAAAAAAAAACCAGCAACCTCCATCATGAAAAACATTACAGGTTTCTGTTTCACAGTCACGGGCAGGACGTAGTACTTCCCTGGGTGGTTGCGTCTACCAACCTACACATAAATATAAAAAATATAATAATAAATATAATTATATATATAAAAATGTGGGGCCGAATATTAAAACTGGTAAATTAGCAAAACTCGTTTAAAATAATCCTTTCTGAAATTTTCTTTTATACGTTTAAAGATAATTTTTTTTTCTTAATTTAAAGAAAAAATTTTTAATTTTGCCCCAAAAAGAACTAGAAAACTACCTAACCTTATTATAACAAAAACAATTTTTTTTAGCCTAACCCAAACTAAATATATTTTAGATTTGTTTACAAAAAATTTAATACTAAACACCACGTGAAATATATTTTTTTCGTTAGGGGTTTAAAGACTTGGGAAATTTTGAATACACAAAATTTTTACTTGTCCTTATGGCAAGATGACGTTGCTATTAAGCCAAGATCGCAAGTTCTCCTTCGGCACGACATATTATATAATATATATATATAATTGCATATATATATAATATAATAATATA